CGGAAGGATGGAAGGCTGAGTCAACCCTGAGCCGGTGAGATTTGAACCGCTGAACTGCAGATAACAGTCAGTTGAAGTGGCCTGCAGTACTGCACTCTACCCACTGCGCCACCTCGGCTCAATGTTGTTTTTTATTTTGTAGGTGAGGTGTTGGGGTACAATATGTAAGTGTGGGTATTATTTGGAAGACAATAATGTTTTAATAAATAGCTACATATTCAAAATTCCTATAAAGAATTCACTGAAAAATTGGATGGGAGGAAATGTGTGAGTGCATATTGAGAAGATTTCTTAAAGCATATTGAATGTTAACTATTTTGCTGAAAATAACCAGAGTCTGCATTGGAATATTTAGTCATAACTTTAATATAAAAATGAATCATTTCAATTTCTGCATGAAGTGTTATTTAGATTACCCAGATAATTTCTTGACTTCTCTCAAAATATTTTTCCACCATAGTTGAATAGTTTTTATAAGACCCGCAGAGCTGCAGATGTAAACTGTGGAGTTTGGCTGCTTCTCCAAGGTCAAATATAGAGAATTTGTACAGGATTTGTAGAGCAAAGGATTTCTTCCCAATCTTACCACTTCAAATTTCTGCATGGATTTGAAGTGGTTATTTTTGTTCAAATTCCAAAGTCGTTATAAGTTGTGTATTTGGAAATAACATGGACAAATCTTTTAAGCATAAGAGGGTTACATTTGTAGTAATCAAAGAAGATTGTAGACTTTGGATGGATTAAGCAGCAGGAGGCTTCAGATGAGCCAGGAAATCACAAAGAATATAGGAAAAGGAATTTATCAAGTGTTTTAGATTCATTCAGGGCATTACATAGCAACAGTTTCCATAACCATCAGCATTTTCAAAACAGCTCTGTCGTTATCCTGCCACAATAACATTCTGAAATCAGAGGGAACATTAGCCCTGTAAGAGAATAATAAGCAACCTTTTCTCCCTGGAAAAAAAAGAAACCTCCCTTTCTTTTCTCTGAAAACTATTTGAATCAGAAAACCTATATCAAAGGATTCCGTTTGCTGAAACACCATTAAACAAATTTCTAAGCCCATTCAGGATGCTGGAAAACCAGAGTCTGATTTTAACCTGTTCTAAACGTTTTGCCTATCACCTCTATTCAAACAATAAATGCAAATAGGATATTTGCATGTAATCCTGATATATCAGTAAAGCACAAGCTCTCAAGATACGTACATAAAAATAGCACCTGGAGTCATAGCCATTACAAGTCTTGACTGCTTCTTTCCAGAAATCTCGGTTTACAAAAATTGGAAGGCCCAGCATTTATTCCTCTACTGATATTTTTCAG